TTTGTTTGTTTGTTAATCCTCATTTGAGGATATTTTGCCAATGATGTTTTAGAGAGTGGGAGAGAGGAGGAGGAACACACACACAGAGAGAGAGAGAGACATGGATGTGAGAGAGACACGTGGATTGCTTGCCTTCCACACGCACCCCAGCTGGTGCCGGGGATGGAAGCTGCAGCCAGGTCATGCCCTTGGCCAGGAATCAAACCCAAGAGCCTGCAGTGCTGGGGCCAGAGCTCTAACCACTGAGCAACCAGCCGAAGTTCTCTGTGTGTCCCCGTTGCTGCATCCATGGGAGCCTGCGTGTCTGCCTCTCTTGGTGCCCTGTCTCCCGGTCTCCCGGGTGTCTGTCTGTGACCCCGTGTCTGTCTCTCTCTGGCTCTGTGTCCCTGTCCCCCCCTTTTGAGCTCCTCTGGGTCTCTGTGTCCCTGCCCTCATTTCTGTCTCAGCTCTCTGTCTCCCTGCCCTTGTGTCTCTCTCTCCGGTTTCCGGTCCTTTGCACTTCTTCCCATGAACCCGGCTTCCCCCTCTCTCTTCCATTCTCTGTGTGTCTCTCTGTGGGCCGGGGTCTCAGCATCCCTGTGCCCTCCACCCAGGGCAGAGGAGCCCAGGACGCCCCCTGCTGGAGACCCAGCTCTGCCCTGATGTGCCTGTGGCTTCCGGGAGCCTGGCCCTCGGTTCTCCCGACTCCCACACCCAGGTCCCCGCGTGGCAGACACACACACACAGCCTCTCCCAGCTCAGACACAAGCTTTATTCCTCAGGGCTGTGGGCAGGCGGCTCAGCCCTCAAACTTCTTCTTGCGGCCCTCCATGCCGCTCAGCAGATCGATGTTCTTGCGCCAGTCTCCCACCTCCCGGTTTTCCTGGGGAAGCGGGGTCAGAGGTTAGAATGTCTTCCCTCAAATATCCTCCGACTGCCCTCCAGCCCGCGGGGCCACTCTGGACGTCTGACCAAGGGTCTGGTTCTGGAGTGCTCCCTGCTTCTCAACATCCCATCCACATTGATCCATGCAGTTCCTGTCTCCCTCCTGCACTTCCTGTCTCCCTCCTGCACTTCCTGTCTCCCTCCTGCACTGCCTATCTCCCTCCTGCACTTCCTGTCTCCCTCCCGTACTTCCTGTCTCCCTCCTGCACTTCCCGTCTCCCTCCTGCAATTCCCATCTCCCTCCTGTACTTCCCGTCTCCCTCCTGCACTTCCTGTCTCCCTCCTGCAATTCCCATCTCCCTCCTGTACTTCCCGTCTCCCTCCTGCACTTCCTGTCTCCCTCCTGCAATTCCCATCTCCCTCCTGTACTTCCCGTCTCCCTCCTGCACTTCCTGTCTCCCTCCTGCAATTCCCATCTCCCTCCTGTACTTCCCGTCTCCCTCCTGCACTTCCTGTCTCCCTCCTGCAATTCCCATCTCCCATTCCTCACCCCCCTCCGGGCCTGTGGGTGTCTCTTCTCGCTTGCCCCCCCCACACACACACTGTTTGCAATGCTGTCTCCCTTTCTATGCATGTTTCCGAGTTTCCCTTTGGGCCTCTGTTTTGGGCTATGAGTCTCTGTGTCCTTCACTCCGAATGTCCCTCCGAGTGTTCTTTTGTTTGTTTGTTAATCCTCATTTGAGGATATTTTGCCAATGATGTTTTAGAGAGTGGGAGAGAGGAGGAGGAACACACACACAGAGAGAGAGAGAGACATGGATGTGAGAGAGACACGTGGATTGCTTGCCTTCCACACGCACCCCAGCTGGTGCCGGGGATGGAAGCTGCAGCCAGGTCATGCCCTTGGCCAGGAATCAAACCCAAGAGCCTGCAGTGCTGGGGCCAGAGCTCTAACCACTGAGCAACCAGCCGAAGTTCTCTGTGTGTCCCCGTTGCTGCATCCATGGGAGCCTGCGTGTCTGCCTCTCTTGGTGCCCTGTCTCCCGGTCTCCCGGGTGTCTGTCTGTGACCCCGTGTCTGTCTCTCTCTGGCTCTGTGTCCCTGTCCCCCCCTTTTGAGCTCCTCTGGGTCTCTGTGTCCCTGCCCTCATTTCTGTCTCAGCTCTCTGTCTCCCTGCCCTTGTGTCTCTCTCTCCGGTTTCCAGTTCTTTGCACTTCTTCCCATGAACCCGGCTTCCCCCTCTCACTTTCATTCTCTGTGTCTCTCTGTGGGCCGGGGTCTCAGCATCCCTGTGCCCTCCACCCAGGGCAGAGGAGCCCAGGACGCCCCCTGCTGGAGACCCAGCTCTGCCCTGATGTGCCTGTGGCTTCCGGGAGCCTGGCCCTCGGTTCTCCCGACTCCCACACCCAGGTCCCCGCGTGGCAGACACACACACACAGCCTCTCCCAGCTCAGACACAAGCTTTATTCCTCAGGGCTGTGGGCAGGCGGCTCAGCCCTCAAACTTCTTCTTGCGGCCCTCCATGCCGCTCAGCAGATCGATGTTCTTGCGCCAGTCTCCCACCTCCCGGTTTTCCTGGGGAAGCGGGGTCAGAGGTTAGAATGTCTTCCCTCAAATATCCTCCGACTGCCCTCCAGCCCGCGGGGGCCACTCTGGACGTCTGACCAAGGGTCTCGGTCTGGAGTGCTCCCTGCCTCTCAACATCCCATCCACATTGATCCATGCACTTCCTGTCTCCCTCCTGCACTTCCCGTCTCCCTCCTGCAATTCCCATCTCCCTCCTGTACTTCCCGTCTCCCTCCTGCACTTCCTGTCTCCCTCCTGTACTTCCTGTCTCCTCCTACACTTCCTATCTCCCTTCTGCACTTCCTGTCTCCCTCCTGCACTTCCTGTCTCTTTTCTCTCATGCACTTCCTGTAACCCCCATTCCCATTCTGACTCCATGCTACTGCCCTTCTCCTAATGCACTTCTAGTCTCCCCCTTATACTTCCTGTCTTCCTGTTGCACTTCCTGTGCCCCTCCTCTACTTCCTGTTGAAGATTCCTCACCAGAGTCTTCTCCCCAAAATTCCAAAAGTCCTTGCCCTCAAGCCAGGCCCTGGGACCGTTGCCCCCACACCCTCTCCGCTGGGTCCCCTTTCCGGGCCCAGCCACACTCACCTTCTCCGTGTCCTCCTTCTTCACCTGCTTGAGGTGGGCCCGCAGGTCCAAGGACTCCTTAGCCTTGGTCCCCAGCAGCGCCTGCATCATGGCATCCGCGGAGATCCGCACCCGCCGCAGGGTGGGCCGCTTGAACTTGCCCCGGAGGTCAAGGATCTTCTGGGTCAGATCTGCGATCTGGGGGTGAGGGGGGGGACAAGGGGAGGTGGAGACCTCTCCCTCCACTTCCCCCTCCCCCCACTCCTCCACCCTCCCCTGGCCTCCTATCCCTACCCAGGCCCCAGCCAGGCTTTTCCTAGCTCAGGCTCCCACTGCCTCTGGGGTAAAATCCCAGCTCTTCATCCCGACCTGGAAATCCTCCCAGATCCGCCCAGCCACGTCTCTCTGAGAACCAGTGACACATCCCCGCCCAGCAACCTGCATCTCACGGTTCTTTGCAGTCCACACCTCAGCTCCTTTACCAACACCTGGCGCTCCAGGCACACATTTCACATGTTTTCTGCTGTCCCACCTCCCCTGCCTGGAACAGCTGTGCCTGGCCATATTGTAGCCAGCCTTCTGCCCACTTCCTGCCAGACTCATGGAGCTGACCTGGGTCCCCTGGTATCCTCCACCACAAGGGGCCAGGCCGAGACCACAGCCCCAGGCACTGCCTCACACCCTGATGGGACCCGCAATGCCCATGCCTCCCACCTCCGTGATGTTCTTGGTGACTTTTGCCTCCACATCGTATCTCTCCTCGTCCACTTTGTCTATACGGGCATGGAGCTGTCGGCACAAGTCCTGGTAAAGAAACGTGGCATGTGTGGTAGGGGAAGGCTGGGGGCCTGGACTCCTGGGTGTGAGGGAGGAGGAACTGGGGGCCTGGACTCCTGGGTCCGAGGGGCTGGGGGGTGGATATCTGGTTGTGAAGTAGACTGAAGCTGGTCTCTGGGGAGCTGAGAACAAAGCCGAATTCCAGAGCCACTAACCCTGCGAATCTACAGAATTAGGGACAGAAGAACCGCCCTCTGGGTTTTGAGACTGTAGGCAGCTTGCAGGCCACACACATGAATGAACTCGTGGGGCTAAATATTGGGAGATCGGGCCCCAAGGTCCTGAGCAGAAGGGGGAGGATAGTGACTGTACCCGAGCCCCAAGATGCAAGACTGGACAGAGGAGCCCAGGGCCTCGGGCTGGGCAGGGGACCCTGCTTCGAGCTTGTACCTGCAGCTCCTCGAAGCTCAGCCCAGCCACTTCCAGGGGCTGGCACCGCGTGCTCAGAGCGCGCCCCTTCTCCCCGCGCCGATCCTCTGCCTCGCGCTCCAGCTCCTGCTTCGCTATCTGCAGCATCAGGGTCTGCGAGGGGAGGCTGGACCTCAACTCACATCGTGGGGGGGAGCGGGATGAAGACCCTCCGGCTCCTGTCCTCTAATGCCAGCTCTGGCCTTCAGTCTTTCCGGGTCCCGCCCCCTCAAGATCCATCATTCCAAGGCCCGCCGCAAAGCCACGCCCCCAAACCCAACACTCCAAGCCCCACCCACTCCCACATTCGAAGCCTCAAGCTCCGCCCCCCAGGGACGCCTAGGCTGCCTCTCCAGACCGGGTCTCACCTTCAGCTGCAGTTTTCTCGAGGCGGAGATCTTTGACTTTTTCTGCGGGGATGAGATGGAGAGAGGAAGGAGCAGGGAGAGGGGCGCACAGGTAGGCAGTGGGAGGGGCTTAAGAACCCGCCCCCCTCATGCCAGGTCCAGATTTGAGCCCGCCTCCAATTCCAGCGCTCCCAGTACAGAGGCCACGCCCCTCAGTCCAATCCACCAATCTGGGCATCTGACTCTGGAACGGCCCCGCCCACCACCTCGTACGCAACCGCGGTTCCCACGAGCAACGGAACTCCGCCCATAGGCAGCGCTCACCAATCCGAGCCCGGTCCTGTACGAAACTCCGCCCCTCAAACTCCCGTCATCTGCCTGGCTCCGCCCAAGGCCCAAACCCCGCCTCCATGAAGGCCATGGCCCCGCCCCTTTTCTCACGGTGCAGGGTAACCTCCTAAGACTCTGAATCCAGGCCCCGCCCCGGCCCCGCCCACCGCGCGGTCCCGGCTCACCTTGGCGTGCGGCTC